CTTATATAAATACATATATTTATTTATATACACACAATATATAGATACAGCTATGTATGTATCTGTCTATCTGTATCTCAGATATCTATATAATATGTGTCAACTGCCTGTCATGTGTTCAACATGTTGACTTTTCTGAAAAATGTATGGATAAGTGTGTGTGAATCCAAATGTGCTTTTCCCTAAAAGACTTGCTCAAAATTTGACTATTCTTTGAAAAACATTTCAATTTGTGTGTATAAGCTGCTTTTTAAAGATGTGCACTATTTTACATGCAAAAAATACCACTTCACTAAATTATAATGATTTTCTAGAGATACTCTCTAAGGGTCTTAACTCATATTGTTCGAAGTCACAGGGAGAACTCTGTAAAGATTTAAAAGGAGTAGGAGCAGGTCCCTGTGATACAACTGTCCTACTGTCCTATCAGTAGAAGTATTTCAGACCCTGTTGAGCAAAGTACTTAGCACATACATAACTGGAGTATTCACATACATGCCTAAAATTAGGCAACAAATCAGTGGTAATAAAGGTCTTACCCAGTATACTCTGTGCACATCCAGCTTCCACCAACAATACTGGGAGTTTAGAAGCACAAAGAGTACGTTATCAGGCAGCATAACTTCTCCTTAAAGCTTCAAATTAAAGGTGGCTGCTTAGGCTTAAACATTACCTTCAGATGGGAAAGCCTTTTTGTCTCCCTCACCCACATTGTTTGCTATTTTATGCCCTTTTTCTCCCTTCTTTGTTTTTTGAAGGTGTCTTGCTTTTTATAATGGAAATTCAGATAATCCTCAGATTTGTGCTTGGAGGATTCCTTCAGGTGCAAAATGATTAAAATTATGTGCTGCCTCGAGACGTTTTAAAACGCTGTCGAACCTTTTTCAAGCAGTAGTTTGCCAACAGCTGCAACTTCTCCACTTCATCAGTTGCTATACCTTTGTAAGTTAAAGATTATGCCACGCGGAAGTAAATGTGAGCCACTAGAGCAGCTGTTGAAAGATAGCATGGAGTGATACGTACTTCAAAAAAATGGCATTCAGAATCATATACGTTAATGAGTGGTGGCTTTCAGCTCACACATATAGCATTGATTATTTCATGTATAATTTAAGAGTTGATTAAACCATGTTACGTTTCTGATTCCACTTGCCTCTGATCTTGTTCTCTCTGAGTTTTGATTGGCTTTTAAATTCCTTTGTGATATTCCTGTTTCTTGAGTGTAATTCCTGGAACAAAGTCTTCCTTCCTGTACAACCTTCTCAGTTTTACTGCATAAAATGAGGGCAGAATTTAGTAGTACATCTTACAAAACCAAACAGCCCAGTGAACTGCCGTCTATGCAGAGATACTTTCTCTGACACAGGTTTGTGTTTATGAACTTAGGAGGTTTCCAAATGACCAGTATTAGATATAAGGCAGTTACAATCAGAGCCTTATTTCTTCCTTATATTTCTTCATTTTTACAATTCTTTGTAGTGTTTTTCTTAAACTGTTTTTTAGGGGTTCTTAGGGATTTCTTATCCTGGGTCTTCTGTTTCATAGATTTTTGACCAGGCTCACTGCTTCGTAGTAGTTTTGTTGTTGTGTCTTTGTAGAAAGAGAAAGTAGACAAAAAGTATTTGTTTCTTCTGCTTCTCATTGGTATCATTAAATTGCTCACCTGTGCTTCCTGAGCCGGAAGAGATCTTTTTCTTTAATTGTGAGCACTTGTATAAATGGGTACTGACCAGTGCAAAGTACAAAATGTTAGAAAAAAGTCCTTTGGCTTGCACTGGCAGAGCGATGAGAGGGAATGACCAGAAAGAAGGCTCGTTCATCTCTAGATTGAGTGATTCAGTGAAATTTTTGATATGCCATTGTTAAAATGCCACCATCTTAGTCCATGGGTGGTGGTGTATGAAAAAGGATTAAAAGATGGCAAACCAGCAGGAAGGAACACAAGGAGTCTCTGCTGAGGATATTATTACCCCACCCCAAACAAGAGTGGACAATATAAATTCATCAGGTGGGTGCTTGGGATGCCTGAAAATAGCACAGTCTCTCATAGACTGTATGCACAGGGTATGATTATGTTGATGCCTGCAGTGGGGGATTTAAAGCCAAAACTTGTTTTTTGTGGAAACCATGTAAATACAAAATTGCTGAAAAAGACTCATAACTGAGAGATAAGAGTATACAGAACGTAAAAGGAATCTGATACGCCTAGTATCCTTAGTAGAGACTAGTAATCTTCTTCATATATCATTATAACGTAGACACACCTATTGTCATCGTGATTTTTGGAGGCCTATCACAGAGGAGATTGATTTGTCTGAAACAGTGGCCGGTACGGCCAGTAATCACTGGGGAGGAGCTTTCAAGGCCTGTAGAGATATTCAGGATACCACATCCAAGGGAACAAAGGAGGTCTGAGAAGAGCCACTGTGACAATAGATGGGATTTTTTTCTCAGTCATCTCTTCAGTCTCCTTCCTTATGGTGCAACTATTTTGTCAGGTCTCCAAATTTTATCAGAATTTTTGTGAGATTAGGTGATTCTTGGATGGCTTTTATTTTGGGTGTGAGGAAGAGTGAAGAGGTTTTAGTTTTTCTCCGCTGCTTAACCACATCCAAAAAGCCAGTGTTCTGAACTCCTTTGGTTGCATATTGGCAGGAAAGAAAGGAGAGTGAGATAAAGGTTCAGTTTAGTTGCCCACACATGGGTGTTGGCTGCTATTTGAGATGCCCACAGTTTCCAAAGGACCCGCATGGTTTGACAGACATGACACAGAGCCTGTAGGAAGTCCATGCTTTTCCTGACTGGCACCTGGAAATCAAGTGGGCTCTCCCTATGGCATGTCAAATAGGTTTGGACCC